TATAAACTTCCAATTTCTCGATTTTTCAATTAATCGATGTTTTGATTTTCCCATTTCTTGACCTTCGAGTGTTTCGATTTTCCTGTTCTTCAGTTCTTTAATTTTTCGATTTTTTAGGGTTTCTATTTTTCGACTTCACTTTTTGATTTTTCGAGTTTTCAGTTTTTAGACATTTCAGTTTTAGGATTTTTCAATATTTCAATATTTCAATTCTTCGGCTTTTCTATTTTTGACTTCTGGATTTTTCGATCTGTCTATTTCTTTACTTTTCCGATTTTTCAATTTTTGGATTTTTAAATTTTAGATTTTTAAATCTTTTGACATTTTAATTTTTCAATATTTCTTAATATTTCGATTTTTCGACTTACTGGTTTTAGATGCTGTTTTTCAATTTTTCGATTTGCTAATTTTTCATTCCCGATTTATCAGTTTTTCAATTTTTTATTTTGGCCTATTTCGGTTTCTCAGTTTATTCATTTTTCCATTTTTTCGTTTTTTGATTTTTCCGCTTTTCCAATTTTTCAACTTTTAACTTTTTGTTTGTCGATTTCTCTATTTTTCGATATTTCGACTTCATCATTTTTCGATTTCTGGTTCTTTTGATCTTTGAATCTCTCAATTTTTCCATTTTTCGAATTTTTAAGTTTTCTGATTTCTCGAGATTTGGATTTTTCGATATTTTGATTCTCAATTTATAAATTGTTCAATTTTTAACTTTTCGATTTTTCGATTTTGGCCTATTTCGGTTTCTCAATTGTTCGACTTTTCGACTCCACGATTTCTAGATCTTTTGATTTTTCGATTTTCCAGTTTTTTGATATTTCGATTTTTCAGTTACTCGATTTTTTAAATTTGGGAATTTCGATTTCTCGATTTTTCGTAATTCGGTTTTTAAATTTTTGATTTTTGAATTTTACATTTTTTCTATTTTCTGATGTTCCATTTTTCGATTTTTTTAAGGTTTCGATATTTCGATTTCCCTTTTTAGATTTTTCGATTTCTCAATTTTTAGATTCTTCAGATTCTCAGTTTTTGGATATTTCAGTTTTGGGATTTTTCAATATTTCTGTTTTCGACTTTTCCATTTTTGACTTATGGATTTTTCGATGTGTCGAATTTTTACTTTTTCGATTTTTAAATTTTAGATTTCTCAATTTATTGGTATTTTAATTTCTCAATATTTAAAATTTTAGATTTTTCAATTTCTCCATTTTTCGTTTCAGCTCTTCCATATTTCAATTTTTCAAATGTTTTCGACTTCCCGGTTTTAGATTTTCTGTTTTTCAATTGTCGTTTTTTCATTTTTTCGATTTTTAAATTTTAGATTTCTCAATTTTTTGGTATTTTAATTTCTCAATATTATTTAAAATTTTAGATTTTTCGATTTCTCGATTTTTCATTTCAGTTCTTCGATATTTTCGTTTTTCATGTTTTCGAATTTTTCAAATATTTTGATTTCTTAATCTATCGATTTTCCGACTTGCCGGTTTAAGATTTTCTCTTTTTCAATTGTCGTTTTTTCCAATTTTCGATTTTTCAATTTTTCAAATTTGACATTAAAACTCTCAATTTTTCGATTTTTCAATTAATCGATGTTTTGATTTTCCCATTTCTTGACTTTCGAGGGTTTCGATATCCCTGTTCTTCAATTCTTTAATTTTTCGATTTTTCATTTTTTAGTTTTTTTAAGGTTTCGATTTTTCGACTTCACTTTTTGGATTTTTTGATTTTTTAGGTTCTCAGTTTTTGGATATTTCAGTTTTCGGATTTCTCAGGTTTTCCATTTTTCAGTTTTTCTTTCATTTCTCAGTTTTTGGATATCTCAGTTTTGGGATTTATCAATATTTAGATTCTTCGACTTTTCGATTGTTGACTCCTGGATTTTTCGATGTGTTGATTATTATTTTACTTTTTCGATTTTTTTCAATTTTTCGATTTTTAAATATTAGATACTTTAATTTTTAAAATTTTCGATTTTTCGATTTCTCGATTTTTCAGTTCAGTTCTTCGATATTTGAATTTTTTAAGTTTTCGAATTTTTAATCTTTTGATTTTTCGACTTCCCGGTTTTAGAATTTCTGTTTTTCAATTGTCATTTTATCAAATTTTCGATTTTTTAAATTTTACTTTTATAAACTCTCAATTTTTTGAAATTTTTTCTCGAAAAAAAAAGTTTTTTGATTTCTCGAGATTTGGATTTTTCGATATTTTGATCTCAATTTCTTAATTTATAAATTGTTCAATTTTTAACTTTTCGATTTTTCGATTTTGGCCTATTTCCGTTTCTCAGTTGTTCGACTTTTCGACTCCACGATTTCTATTTCTTGATCTTTTGATTTTTCGATTTTCCAGTTTTTCGATGTTTCGATTTTTCAGTTAATCGATTTTTTAAATTTGGGAGTTTCGATTTATCGATTTTTCGTAATTCGGTTTTTAAATTTTAGATTTTTGAATTTTACATTTTTTCGATTTTCTGATGTTCCGTTTTTCGATTTTTTAAAGGTTTCGATATTTCGATTTCCCTTTTTTGATTTTTCGATTTCTCAATTTTTAGATTCTTCAGATTCTCAGTTTTTGGATATTTCAGTTTTGAGATTTTTCAGTTTTTCGATTCGTCAGTTTCTCGATATTTCAGTTTTGGGATTTTTCAATATTTCTGTTCTTCGACTTTTCCATTTTTGACTTCTGGATTTTTCGAAGTGTCGACTTTTTACTTTTTCGATTTTTAAATTTTAGATTTCTCAATTTTTGGTATTTTAATTTCTCAATATTTAAAATTTAAAATTTTTCAATTTCTCGATTTTTCATTTCAGCTCTTCCATATTTCAATTTTACAAATGTTTCGATTTCTTAATCTTTCCATTTTTCGACTTTCCGGTTTTAGTTTTTCTGTTTTTCAATTGTCGTTTTTTCAATTTTTCGATTTTTAAAATTTAGATTTCTCAATTTTTTGGTATTTTAATTTCTCAATATTTAAAATTTAAAATTTTTCAATTTCTCGATTTTTCATTTCAGCTCTTCCATATTTAAATTTTTCAAATGTTTCAATTTCTTAATCTTTCGATTTTTCGACTTTCCAGTTTTAGATGTTCTGTTTTTCAATTGTCGTTTTTTCAACTTTTCGATTTTTAATTTTTAATTTTTCAGTTTTTTGATATTTTAGTTTTTCAATATTTAAAATTTTAGATTTTTCCATTTCTCGATTTTTCATTTCATTTTTCAAATGTTTTGATTTCTTAATCAATCGATTTTTCGACGTCCCAGTTTTAGATTTTCTGTTTTTCAATTGTCGTTTTTTCAAAGTTTCGACTTTTCAATTTTTCAAGTTTGACATTTATAAACTGTCAATTTTTCGATTTTTCAATTAATCGATGTTTTGATTTTCCCATTTCGTGACTTTCGAGGGTTTCGATATTCCTGTTCTTCAATTCGATTTTTCGATTTTTCAGTTTTTTGATATTTTATTTTTTAATTTTTTTAAGGTTTCAATATTTCGACTTCACTTTTTGGATTTTTCTATTGCTCAATTTTTGGACTTTTTAGGTTCTCAGTTTTTGGATATTTCAGTTTTCGGATTTTTCAGGTTTTACATTTTTCAGTTTTTCTTTCATTTTTTAGTTTTTCGATATTTCAGTTTTAGGATCTTTCAATATTTTGATTCTTCGACTTTCCGATTTTTGGCTTCTGGAGTTTTCGATGTGTTCGATTTTTTTACTTTTTCGATTTTTCCATTTTTCGATTTTTAAATTTTAGATTTTTTAATTTTTAAAATTTTAGATTTTTCAATTTCTCGATTTTTCATTTCAGTTCTTCGATATTTCAATTTTTCAAGTTTTCGAATTTTTCAAATGTTTCGATTTTTTAACCTTTTGATTTTTTGCTACCCGGTTTTAGATTTTCTGTTTTTCAATTGTAATTTTGTCAAATTTTCAATTTTCAATTGTTTAATTTTTCAAATTTGACTTTTATAAACTTTCAATTTTTCGATTTTTCAATTAATCGATGTTTTGATTTTCCCATTTCTTGACCTTCGAGTGTTTTGTATTTCCTGTTATTCAGTTCTTTAATATTTTGATTTTTCAATTTTTCGATTTTTTAAGGTTTCTATTTTTCGACTTCACTTTTTGATTTTTCGAGTTTTCAGTTTTTAGATATTTCAGTTTCAGGATTTTTCAATATTTCAATTCTTCGGCTTTTCTATTTTTGACTTCTGGATTTTTCGATGTGTCTAGCTTTTTGGATTTTTAAATTTTAGATCTTTTGATATTTTAATTTTTCAATATTTCTTAATTTTTCGACTTCCTGGTTTTAGATGCTGTTTTTCAATTTTTCGATTTGCTAATTTTTCATTCCCGATTTATCGAGATTTGATTGTTCAGGTTTTCGATTTATCAGTTTTTCAATTTTTTATTTTGGCCTATTTCGGTTTCTCAGTTTATCCATTTTTCCATTTTTTCGTTTTTTGATTTTTCCGCTTTTTCAATTTTTCAACTTTTAACTTTTTGTTTGTCGATTTCTCTATTTTTCGATATTTCGACTTCATCATTTTTCGATTTCTCGTTCTTTTGACCTTTCAATCTCTCAATTTTTCAATTTTTCGAATTTTTAAGTTTTTTGATTTCTCGAGATTTGGATTTTTCGATATTTTGATTCTCAATTTCTCAATTTATAAATTGTTCAACTTTTCGATTTTGGCCTATTTCGGTTTCTCAATTGTTCGACTTTTCGTCTCCACGATTTCTTGATCGTTTGATTTTTCGATTTTGCAGTTTTTCGATTTCTCGATTTTTCGTAATTCGGTTTTTAAATTTTAGATTTTTGAATTTTACAATTTTTCGATTTTCTAATTTTGCAAAATCAGTCGCATCTATATTAATCTATGGTAGTACGGCTTGTGGAATTGCTGAACTGTCACGAGAGATATACGAGTTTTGTATAGACACGTGATGTATTAGAGTATTAATCAATGAAGGAACTCTAGTCATTATTAAATGACACAGTTTTGGTACATTGGAGTCAAAAATTTTAATTTTTTTGTAAATTTGTTTATTAAATTAACATTTAAACAGTGAAACAAATCTAGAATGTTGTGTACTTGAAATATTCTATTTTAAGAATCTAGTGGTGGAGTAGTAGGGGTTGTTGAATCGGGAGAACTTGGAGGGTCAGTTGGAGCCGGAGTAGGTGTAGTGAGAATTGTGGTAGGAGTAGTGGTAGGCGTAGTGGCAGTAGTAGTCGTTGTTGAAGTACCAGGATCTACAGTAGTGGTACCTGAGAGAAGTCCATTTATAACGTCTTCAAGAATTGGACCAACTATGTCTCCAATGGCTGAAGCGTTGTTATTAACATACGGGACGATCAACCATTCAGCTAGTAAAGTTATTAGTCCGCTAGCAAAAGAACTAAATCCTTCGTCATACAATAGACCTTGAATGTCAACCTAAAAATAAAAAAAAATGGATATAGATGCTAATTTATTTTAATTCGGTGGTTAATTAATTAGAGTAGTTTATAGGATAAAGGAGAACAAACACAAACAAACTAACTTACGTCGACACTTTGTAAGCGTACTTCAATATCCAAGTCTTTCATTGACATTGATGGTGACAGACTTACTACAGTAGTTCCTTTTAACTGCACGTTATTGAGGGCTATTCTATACAAAAAACAAAATAATATTTGAACCATGAATCCAAACAAAATCTGATTAACGATCAGTAAAAACGTCTAAAAACCAAAATTTACTAACCTGGCACTGCCATTTCCATACACATTTAAAAGGCCTAGCAGATCAATGTCTGTTTTGTATTGGGCGTTAATTTCAATAACTGGTACGACAAATTCAAAGTGTAGTAGAAATGTAGGCATTACAAGCAAAAGGTAGGGAACGAGCAAGCCTTTCAAGCCTGTAACACGTATGTCCTGAATGTCCAGTGTTCCGCTAAAAATGAAAATTAAATTTTTGAAACAGATTGATGCAGCTACACTTATTACTTAATTATGTCTTCTGTTAAATTTAGATTGAGTGGATCTTCAAGTACGAGAGGATCGGGTAGATCTGGTCTCATGCCTTCCACTGTACTGTTTACGAGGTCGTTAATTCCGGCGTAAGGTACAATATTGCCTAACGAAAAGATGGCTAATTTATTTTTCAAAACGTGTGTGCTTACGTTTTTACCTGTTGGTACTTTGTCTTTGGGGAGAGAACAAACACTGAATATAGCCCCTGCGAAGAAAAATCCGAGAATAATAACAAGTTTTTCCATTTTGTTCGGTTTTCAGGTGTCTAAATTTGAAGATATCTGAAATAGTTTTGAAATTTTAGTGACTCTGCTTTCACATTTTGAATTTACTTACGTTTAACGTTGAATTACTCTTCACGGCAAAAATTTATTGCAAAAACTATTGAACTGGTTTATTTTTATCGCACAAATCTAATGATTTATTGTTATCTACACTGTCGATAATCACACGCAGGTGTATACAGAAAGGTTGGATCAGGGTAATCAGAGAATGACCTAAAGACTTTGATTCAATTGTGTGAGATTGTAATACTTCAGATAGTGGTTATCTCTATTATAACACATTTTAAGTACCGTGGTTGAAATATTAGGAATTCGTTGTTGGACCTTTTGTTATGCACATTTTGCAATGAATGGCTAAAAAATTTGAGTTATTTAGGCTTCTAAGCAGTAATGATTTTCTAACATGACGTCATTATCTTTCTGGCGGGGACAAATGTTTCGTTTTCTTATTTTGGCCCTTTTTCGGTTTCTCAGTTTTTCCACTTGTTAGATTTTCAGTTTTTGGATTTTCCAGTTTTTCGATGTTTCGTTTCGATTTTTCGTTTTTCGATTTTTAAATTATAGATTTTCAAAGCTGAAAATCTAAAATCGAAAAATGCGATTAATCAAAAAATAGAAACATCTAAAAATTGAAAAACTGAAACGTTGAGAAATCGAGAAATCGAGAAATCGAGAAATCGGGAAATCGAGAAATCTAAAACTTAAAAAATTAAAATATAGAAAAACTGAAAACTGAAAAATCGAAAAATCGAGAAATCGAAAAATCTAAAATTTAAAAATTGAAAAATTAAAATAAGTATAGAACAATTGAAGACTGAAAAATCGAAAAATCAGAAGATCCAGAAAACGAAAACGTGAAAAACTGAGAAATCGAAAAGTCGAAATATCGAAAAATTGGAAAATCGAGAAAATTTGAAGAATCTAAAAACTGAAAAATCCCAAAACTAAAACATCAAAAAATTGAGAAACCTAAAAATTGGGAAATTGAAAATTCAAACAAGTGGAACATGGAGAAATTAAAAAATTCCAAACTGAAAACAGGAAAAATTGGGAAATCTGAAAATCGAAACACCCAAAAATTGCAAAACTCGAGAAATCGAGAAATTAAAAAGTCGAGAAGTCGAAAATTATCGAAAAATAGAAATGCCCCAAAATCGAATAATCTGAAAGTTAAAAAATGAAAATCTGAAAATTTAAAATTGAAAAAAATGAAAAATTTAAAATTTAAAAAATATCGATAAATAGAGAAAAATTAAAAAATCGAAAAACTGAAAAATCGAAGATTCAAAGACTAAGAAGTCGAAAAATCCGAAGATCGGGGAATCGAAACATCAAAAAACTGAAAAATCTAACATTTAAAAATTAAAAAAATTAAGACAGTAATATTGAAGAACTGAAAAATCTAAAAATCGAATAATTGGAAAATTGAGAAAAATTGAAGAATTTGAAAACTGAAAAATCCTGTAACTAAAACATCAAAAAATTGAGAAAACTAAACATTGGGAAATCAAAAAACCGGCAAATAAAGGAATCGAAAAATTCATAATTTAAAAAATCGAAAATTTGAAAAATTGGAAAATTGAGGAGTCTAGTAACTAAAAAATAGACAAATTGAAAAATTTCAAAACTGTAATGACGAAATATTGAGAAAACGAAAAACTGAAGAACTCAAAAATCGGAAAATCTAATAATTGAAAAACCGAAAAGTTAAATCGAAAAAGTGTTTCCCGATTTTCCAGTTTTTCGATGTCTCAATTTTTCAATTATCCAATTTTTGAATTTTTCGATTTTTTAAATTTTGGAATTTCGATTTTTCGTTTTTCGGTTTTTAAATTATAGATTTTCAAATTTTTTCAAGCCGAAAATCGAAAATCGAAAAATGCGATTAATCAAAAATCGAAACATCTAAAAATTGAAAAACTGAAACGTTGAGAGATCGAGAAATTGAAAAGTCGAGACATTGAAAAGTCGAGAAGTCAAAAAATATCGAAAAACAAAATCCTAAAATCGATAAAATGAGAAAGCGAAAAATTGAAAAAGCGAAAAACTGAAAAATCAAAAATTTCGAAATTCGAAAAATTGAAAAACCGAAAAATCAAATTTTGTGAAGTCGAAAAATAGAAAGATCGGGAAATCGAAACATTAAAAAACTGAAAAATGTAACATTAAAAATTAGAAAGATGAAATAGAAATATTGAAGAACTAAAAACTTGAAAAATCGACAAATCGAGAAATCGAGAAATCGGGAAATCGAGAAATCGAGAAATCGAAAATTCAAAAATTGAAAAATTAAAATAAGTATAGAAAAATTGAAGACTGAAAAATCGAAAAATCAGAAGATCCAGAAAACGAAAACGTGAAAAACTGAGAAATCGAAAAGTCGAAATATCGAAAAATTGGGAAATCGAGAAAAATTGAAGAATCTAAAAACTGAAAAATCCCAAAACTAAAACACCAAAAAATTGAGAAACCTAAAAATTGGAAAATTGAAAATTCAAAAAACTGAAACATGGAGAAATTAAAAAATTCCAAACTGAAAACGGGAAAAATTGGGAAATCTGAAAATTGAAAAATCGTAATATGGAAAAACTAGACAATCAAAGTCTAAATAAAACTTGAGAAGCCGAAAAGTCGAAAAGTTGAAAAACCGCGAAATCTAAACAACGAAAGTTTGTAAAACTGAAACATCGAAAAATCGAGAAATGGAAAATTCCAAAACTGAAATGACAAAAAATTGGGAAATAGGAAAACTGGAAAAGTGAAAGATCGAAAACTCTAATAAAATCGAAAAACGAGACATCAAAAAATCGAAACACCCAAAAATTGAAAAAACTCGAGAAATCGAGAAATTAAAAAGTCGAGAAGTCGAAAATTATCGAAAAATAGAAATGCCCCAAAATCGAATAATCCGAAAGTTAAAAAATTAAAAACTGAAAATTTAAAATTGAAAAAAATGAAAAATTTAAAATTTAAAAAATATCGATAAATAGAGAAAAATTGAAAAATCGAAAAACTGAAAAATCGAAGAGTCAAAGACTATGAAGTCGAAAAATCCGAAGATCGGGGAATCGAAACATCAAAAAACTGAAAAATCTAACATTTAAAAATTAGAATAATTAAGACAGAAATAATGAAGAACTGAAAAATCGAAAAATCGAATAATTGGAAAAATGAGAAAAGTTGAAGAATTTAAAAACTGAAAAATCTTAAAACTAAAACTTCAAAAAATTGAGAAAACTAAACATTGGAAAATCAAAAAACCGACAAATAGGGGAATCGAAAAATTCATAATTTAAAAAATCGAAAATTTGAAAAATTGGAAAATTGGGGAGTCAAGTAACTAAAAAATAGACAAATTGAAAAATTTCAAAACTGTAATGACGAAATATTGGGAAAACGAAAAACTGAAGAACTCAAAAATCGGAAAATCTAATAAGTGAAAAACCGAAAAGTTAAAAATCGAAAAAGCGTTTCTCGATTTTCCAGTTTTCGATGTCTCAATTTTTCAATTATACAATTTTTGAATTTTTCGACTTTTTAAATTTTGGAATTTCGATTTCTCGTTTTTCGGTTTTTAAATTATAGATTTTCAAATTTTTCCAAGCCGAAAATCGAAAATCGAAAAATGCGATTAATCAAAAAATCAAAACATCTAAAAATTGAATAACTGAAACGTTGAGAAATCGAGAAATTGAAAAGTCGAGAAGTCGAAAAATTTCGAAAAACAGAAAAACCCCAAAATCGATAACTAGAGAAAGCGAAAAATTGAGAAACCTAAAAATTGGAAAATTGAATATTGAAAAAACTGAAACATGGAGAAATTAAAACATTCCAAACTGAAAACAGGAAAATTGGGAAATCTGAAAATCGAAACACCCAAAAATTGAAAAAACTCGAGAAATCGAGAAATTAAAAAGTCGAGAAGTCGAAAATTATTGAAAAATAGAAATGCCCCAAAATCGAATAATCTGAAAGTTAAAAAATGAAAAACTGAAAATTTAAAATTGAAAAAAATGAAAAATTTTAAATTTAAAAAATATCGATAAATAGAGAAAAATTGAAAAATCGAAAAACTGAAAAATCGAAGAGTCAAAGACTAAGAAGTCGAAAAATCCGAAGATCGGGGAATCGAAACATCAAAAAACTGAAAAATGTAACATTTAAAAATTAGAAAAATTAAGACAGAAATATTGAAGAACTGAAAAATCGAAAAATCGAATAATTGGAAAATTGAGAAAAATTGAAGAATTTGAAAACTGAAAAATCCTATAACTAAAACTTCAAAAATTTGAGAAATCTCAAAATTGGAAAATCAAAATACCGAAAATTGGGGAGTCAAAAAACTAAAAAATGTATAAATTGAAAAATTCTGAAATCGATAAACTGAAGAACTGAAAAATTGAAAAACCCAAATGACGAAAAATCAAAAAACCGAGAAATGAAAAAATCGAAACATTCAACAATTGAAAATCTGAAACATCCAGTAATAGAGAAATTTATAATATTTCGGTTTTTAAATTTTAGTTTTTAAAATTTTTCATACTTTCGATTTTTCAATTTTCAGTTCTTCGATATTTCTATTTTTCAATTTTTCAATTTTTTAAATTGTACATTTTTCGATTTTTCTACTTCAAAAACTAGACAAAGGGATCCCTGGGTTTTTTTCAAACTATTTCAAAAACCAGGTAAAAAGCGATCCCCAAGATTGTCTAAACTACTTCAAAAATTAGACATAAGAAGTCCTCGAGATTCTTTCACATTACTTGAAAAACCAGAGACAAGCGTTTCCAAAGATTCTTTCAAACTACTTCAAAAATCAGACAGAAGCAGTTCTGGAGATTCTTTCAAATTGCTGCAAAAAAATACTGGTGAACCCAAGGTTCTTTCAAACTACTTCAAAAACAAAACGAAAGTGCTCTCCAAGATTTTTCAACCTACTTCAAAAATTAGGCACAAGGGATCTCTAGATTTTTTCAAACTACGTCAAAAATCATACACGAAAAATCCTCGAGATTCTTTAATATTACTTCAAAAATCAGACAAACCAGGTCTCCAAGGTGCTTTCAAACTACCTCAAAACGAATACAAAAGTAGTCCCCCGAAATTCTCTAAACTACTTCAAAAATCAGACACAAAGGCTCTACTTCAAAAAATAGGTACAACGAAATCTCAAAATTGTTTCAAAAAACTAGACAAAGGGATTCCAAGATTTTTTCGAATTATTTCAAAAACTGGGTAAAAAGAGATCCTTAAGATTGTGTAAACTACTTCAAAAACCAGACACAAGAATTCCTCGAGATTCTTTCACATTTCTTCAAAAACCAGAGACAAGAGTTTCCAAAGATTTTTTCAAACTACTTCAAAAACCATACAAAAGAAGTCCTCAAGATTCTTTCGAACTGTTTCAAAAACAAGACATTGGAAGTCCCTTAGATTCTTTCAAACTACTTCAAAAATCAGGCAGAAGAAGTTCTGGCGATTCCTTCCAATTGCTTCAAAAAAGTACTGGTGAACCCAAGATTCTTTCAAATTACTTCAAAAACAAAACAAAATTGGTCTCCAAGGTTTTTCAACCTATTTCAAAAATTAGGCACAAGGGATCTCAAGATTTTTTCAAACTACTTCAAAAATCAGAAAAAAATGACTAATGTAGATTTTTTCAAACTACTTCAAAATCAGAACAAAAGATGAAGAAGAGATGCTTTAAACTACTTCAAAAATCAGACACGGGGGATCCTCCAGATTCTTACATGTTCAAAAACCAGACACAAGAGGTCTACTTCAAAAACTAGGCACAACGGTTCCCCAAGATTCTTTCAAAATACCTCAAAAATCAAGTATAAGATTTCTCGAAATTCTATCAAACTACTTCAAAATCAAAACAAAACGAGTCCTTGAGAACAAAAGAGGTCCCCGAGATTCTTTCACACTAGGTACTTCAAAAACCAGACACAAGAAGTTCCGGAAATACTTTCAAACTACTTCAAAACGAATACAAATGTAGTTCTCCCAGATTCTCTAAACCACTTCAAAAATCAGACACAAAGGCTCTAATTCAAAAAATAGGTACAACGAAACCTCAAAATCGTTTCAAAATACTTCAAAAACCAGAGACAAGATTCCCCGAGATCATTTCACACTACTTCAAAAACCAGGAACAAGGGTTCTACGAGATTCTTTCAAATTACTTCAAAGGATCGTCAAGATTTTTTTAAACAACTGTAGAAACAAAACAGAAGATGTCCCCGAGATTCTTTCAAACTACTTCAAAGACTAGACAAAGGTATCCCAAGATTTTTTCAAACTATTGCAAAAACCATGTAAAAAGAGACCCCCGAGATTGTCTAAACTACTTCAAAAATCAGACACAAAAAGTCCTCGAGATTCTTTCACATTACTTCAAAAACCAGACAAAAGAAGTCCTCAAGATTCTTTCAGACTGTTTCAAAATCAAGACATTGGAAGTCCCTTAGATTCTTTCAAACTACTTCAAAAATCAGACAGAAGAAGTTCTGGAGATTCTTTCAAATTTCTTAAAAAAAAAACAAATACTGGTGAACTCAAGATTCTTTCAAACTACTTCAAAAACAAAACAAAAGTGGTCTCCAAGTATTTTCAACCTATTTAAAAAATTAGGCACAAGGGATCTACAGATTTTTTCAAACTGCTTCAAAAATCAGAAAAAAATGACTCCTGTAGATTTTTTCAAACTACTTCAAATCAGAACAAAAGATGAAGAAGAGATGCTTTAAACTACTTCAAAAATCAGACACGGGAGATCCTCGAGATTCTTACATGTTCAAAAACCAGACACAAGGGGTCTACTTCAAAAACTAGACACAACGGATCCCCAAGATTCTTTCAAAATACTTCAAAAATCAGGTATAAGATTTCGCGAAATTCATTCAAACTACTTCAAAATCAAAACAAAAGGAGTCCTCGAGAACTAAAGAGGTCCCTGAGATTCTTTCACGTTACTTCAAAAACCAGACACAAGAAGTCCTCAAGATTCTTTCAAATTACGTTAAAAACCAGTCACAAGGGGCCCCTGAGATTTTTTCAAACTGTTTCAAAAACAAGACATTGGAAGTCCCTTAGATTCTTTCAAACTACTTCAAAAATCAGACAGCAGAAGTTCTGGAGATTCTTTCAAATTGCTTAAAAAAAATATTGGTGAATCCAAGACTCTTTCAAACTACTTCAAAAACAAAGCAGAAGTGGTTCCCAAGATTTTTCAACCTACTTCAAAAATTAGGCACAAGAGATCTCAAGATTTTTTCAAACTACTTCAAAACCCAGAAAAAAATGACTCCTGTAGATTTTTTCAAACTACTTCAAAATCAGAAGCAAAGATGAAGAAGAGATGCTTTAAACTAATGCAAAAATCAGACACGGAGATCCTCGAGATTCTTACATGTTCAAAATCCAGACACAAGAGGTCTACTTCAAAAACTAGGCACAACGGATCCCCAAGATTCTTTCAAAATACTTAAAAAATCAGGTATAAGATTTCCCGAAATTTTTTCAAATTACTTCAAAATCAAAACAAAAGGAGTCCTCGAGAACAAAAGAGGTCCCCGATATTCTTTCACATTACTTCAAAAACGAGACACAAGAAGTCCCCGAGATTCTTTCAAATTACGTTAAAAACCAGGCACAAGAGGTTCCCGAGATTTTTTCAAACTGTTTCAAAAACAAGACATTGGAAGTCCCTTAAATTCTTTCAAACTACTTCCAAAATCAGACAGAAGAAGTTCTGGAGATTCTTTCAAATTGCTTCAAAAAAAATACTGGTGAACCCAAGATTCTTTCAAACTACTTCAAAAACAAAACAAAAGTGGCCTCCAAGATTTTTCAACCTACTTCAAAAATTACGCACAAGGGATCTACAGATTTTTTCAAACTGCTTCAAAAATTAGAAAAACATGACTCCTGTAGATTTTTTCAAACTACTTCAAATCAGAACAAAAGATGAAGAAGAGATACTTTAAACTACTTCAAAAATCAGACACGGGAGATCCTCGAGATTCTTACATGTTCAAAAACCAGACACAAGGGGTCTACTTCAAAAACTATACGCAACGGATCCCCAAGATTCTTTCAAAATACTTCAAAAATCAGGTATAAGATTTTCCGAAATTCTTTCAAACTACTTCAAAATCAAAACAAAAAAAGTCCTCAAAAACCAGGCACAAGGAGTCCCCGAGATTCTTTCAAATTACGTTAAAAACCAGTCACAAGAGGTCCCCGAGATTCTTTCAAAGTACTTCAAAAATCAGACAAAAGAGGTCTCCAAGATTCTTTCAAATTACTTTAAAAACCAGACACAAGAGGTCCCGAGATTTTTTCAAAATATGTGCTCCAAAAACAACTCACAAGTGGTCCCTGAGATTTTTTCAAATTACTTCCATGACAACACACCACAGACAGAGGCGGATTCGGCCGTCTGGAAAAAGGAAATTTTCCAGAGACACCGGTAGTCTTCGCACATCAAAGCGCGGGAATCCAAATTTTATATAATTTTAAATAAATAAAATTTCGGCCTTTCAGGTGCCGGTCTAATTTTTTTCCCATCCACCCCTGTTTATCCATTGCAAAGTCATAAAAAATGATGACAACTATTCTAGAATTATATTAGAAAAATCTCAACTAAAATTTTCAATTTTTGTTCTGAAATATGGATTAAGAAATTTGTGTTCTGTCATACTTCGTTGATTTTGCGTTGGCTGTTATCAAACGATAAGATATTATGCAGGTATCCAAGTTGATAGCAGTAACAATAACGCATACAATAACCATGTACTACAATTTTATACAGTGGATACAGATAACCCAAAGTTCAAGAGGTTAAATCTAAAAATTCCAATAAAAATTTTTCTCATCGAGTGAACCTTTGAGACACACCAATCTCGAAAACATGTATGTACGTAACTGTCACTAATTTACTATTTTTCATCAGTAATCATTATAAATGAAGGTGAATGGTAGTTACATACAACAAATATCAAGCAAAAAATTTGGAATTTCCACTTGTTTCTAGTTTTTCTGACAGCGATGTACAAAATATGGATCTGTAAGTGAACAAGAGGGATAGACTCCAAATGACGCACACGCGTGTATTACTAGTTGCATACACAATATTTTCACTAAAAAATTGTACCAACACAGGACTTTGTTGAACGATAATAATGTATCGGATTTAGATGAATTACTTAGTAAATTTAATAGGCAACAGCCTGGATTATTTTACCAATTTAGCATAAACAATAGACCGAAAAAATGTAGGTTAGTTTTGCTTAAAATTTGTTCAGTGAACACTGATGTTGCTGTCGTTTGCGATAAATATAAATATAAATCTTCGTTAACTGGGTGCTTTTAAATATGAATCAAATCGAAATGACCACGTTCTATAGCTGCATCTGACATTCACCTAATATAAAATAGTTTACGATCTTATAAAATAGTGTGTTTGAAAGGACATAAATCTTGAGCAACTGTATGTAGCATAAAAGTTTTGCGTTATAGTTTGGAATGTAGGATGCTGGAATTCCTTTATTTGATCTTCAAAGCGAACTGTTCCGGGGGATAATCCGGAAACTATTCACAATAGCCTGGTGATTGGTGAACTCTCTACAAGCGTGAATAAGTTATTTGAGTGTGAAGTAGATTTTTTAAGTTACACTTTGTCCGTATATATAGGGTGTCCCAGTCCCTGTGAATTATTACTAATAATAAAATCTTTTGAGGATTATTATCAATCAATTTGATTGCATTTGGTAAAGTGTCAAAACATTTTTGACACGATTTTGTGTCAGTGTGTAATTAGATCAGAAGCTACCTAAAAACTCTTTTATTGATGTCTCTTTATCCCTCAAATGTACCAAATTTCTCGAATAAGAATCTGCTATACTTGATAGTGCTTCTTAGATTCATCTCTGACGACAAATACCATGTCTTGGCTCAACGATGCACCCTAGCCACTTACAGCAGTGGAGTAACCCTACGCTCCTCAACATCATCCCTAATTTGTGGCGGAATCCTCGTCCAAGCCAGATGGGTCCTAACAGCAAGCCACTGCCTTGACGGAATACGAAACCCAACTTCGCTGGGTGTGATGGGCAAAGGCCTTCTTCCCGAAACCCAGAGAGTAATCGAGGTGGAAAAAGTCTACATCCAAGACGTGTACGACCCCAAGACTCTCGAACACAACATCTGTTTACTCTATCTGAAAAAGGGTTTCTCGCACCCTATGACTTTCCCATCTCTCTCTAGCGCCGATCTGTTCACATACTTAGTTGATATACAGGAAACAATAGCCACTATATTGGGGTGGGTCGGGAACCGGCCGAAGAATCCGGGAAAAGTCATGGATTCCTTTTGTTTAGCTGTGCGTCTGGGGACTCTCGATGATTGTGCGGCGTTTTACGAAAGGTATGTGGACAATGAGACGATGTTTTGCACGAGTAGTGGTCCTGAGGGTGAGCAACCGTGTAAAGGAGATACTGGATGTCCTTTGTTTGTAAAAGGGGTGGTGTTGGGGCTGGTGACTTATGGAAAGGACTGCAAGATGAAAGATGCGTTGACGTTGTTTAGCAGAGTCGATAGGGCTCTTGAGTTTATCGAACAGACGGTGAGAAGTCAGGGGTACGAGTTTGGTAATAAGAGTGTTGAAGGTTTCTACGCTTATTATGTGGGATCAAGGGGATTTGAAGCTAAAGGATCTTTGATAGTGGCACTTGTTGCTGGGTTGGTGTTGCTAACGGTGATGTAATAGGTGTTTTTTAAATTGGTTGAAATTTACCTGTGGTGTAATAGTGTATTGATATTTTAGAAAATAAAATTTTACGTTTTTTAGTGTGTTTGCTGCCTGATAGGTAGGCAACCAATAATCTCAACGAAGCGGCAAATTTTCATTAAAAACCCTGTGACAGGTTTGCCAAAACCAACTTGATGCACGCTTTTACTTTAAAAGTGTAAGATAAGCAAGTATAGTTGTCGAGTCAATCGGGCGACTCGCCACTTTCATGTTTTCTCAACGTTTGTTGTTAAATTTTGTATATATCACGTAGATGTCATTTCCAAAATGTACATAATATATTTTTTTATTATAGGTATAGTCTACATATAAAATAAGATACGCTTGCACATGTTTTAAGGTTATTGTAATCATTGTAAATCGTTATTATACAATATAAAATTCACAAAATCAATTCTTATAATTGTTCGAAAAATCTGGATATTTTTATTCATTTTTGATTTTTCAATTTTACAATTCCACTTTTTTTATTCGAAAAGTTGAAAAATCGAAAAACTAAAAAATCGGAAAAGTTGAAAAATCGAAAAACTGAAAAAACGAAAAATTGCAAAATCGAAAAACTGAAAAACCCAAAATTTCCAAATGAAAGAACTAAAGGCACGAAATATTGGGACATTAGAAAACTAAAAATCGGGTAACTTAAAAATCAAAACATTAGTTAAAAATCGGAAGATTATAGAATCTTTAAAATTGCAAAGTCGAAAAACTGTAACATTGAAAATTAAATAATTAAATCTCGAGGGATTGAAAAATAAAAAACTGAAAAGTTAAAAAAATCTAAAAATTGAAAAATCGAATCATCAAAAAGTTTTAAAATCAATAACTGAAAAATGGAAAAATTCTAAAATCATAAAACTGGAAAAAGGAACAATTTTAAAAATTATATGTAATTAGTTTCACATTTAATTGCAATTCAAAAATTGAATAAACGAACAATTGAAAAACGGAGGAACTGAAAAATCTAGAATTGATAAAAAGAAAAATTTTAAAAGTTAGAAGTTGAAAAATCGAAAATTTGAAAAATCAAACAATGAAAATGCGTGAAATTGCAAAATCTAAAAATTGAAACATCCGGAAGGTGGAAAATAAAAACACTGAAAAATTTAAAAATGAAAACTTGACTCTTCAAGTTTTATAGAAACACTGAAAAATTTAAAAATGAAAACTTCACTCTTCAAGTTTTCATTTTAAAATTTTTCAGTTTTTCTATTTTCCACCTTCTGGATATTTCAATTTTTAGATTTTGTCGTAAAATTGAAGAACAAAAAAAGTTAAAAATTGAAAATTTGAAGAAATGAAGAACTGAAGAACCGAAAAATTCAAAAATTAAAAATCCAATCAATGAAAATCGGAAAAATTCTATAATCTAAATTTGAAAGTCATAAATTTTAAAAATTATTGTTATTATATATCTATAAGGAAAACTAGAAAAATTGCAAATCAAAAATTGGAGAAACGAAAAATTAAAAAATCATGAAACTGAGAAGTCTAAAATTGAAAAAAATAAAAATTTTTAAATTTAAATCTTGAAAAGTCGAAAAATTTAATACCGAAAAACTGCAAACCGAAAAATTTAAAAATTGAAAATCTTGAAAAATCGAAAAATTGAAGAATTAAAAAATGAAAATTCGTCAAATTGCAAATCCAGAAATTGCAAAATCTAAAAATTGAAACATCCAAAAAGTGGAAAATAGAAAAATTAAAAAAATTTAAAATGAAAACTTGAAGAGTTGCATGTTGTATAATTGAAGAACAAAAAAAATGAAAATATGAAAAATAGAAGTAGAGAAAAATTAAAAAAAATTGAAATTGAAAAATCGAAAAATTGACAAAATAAAATACTAAGAAACTGAAATAAATAATTGTAAACCGAAAATTTGAAGAAATGAATAACTGAACAATCGAAAAATTGAAAAATTAAAAAAAGAAAAATTGGGAAAAACAATAAATGAATAAGTTTTAAAATTAAAACATCCAAAAAGTGGAAAATAGAAAATCTGAAAAATTTAAAAATGAAAACTTGAAGAGTTGAATGGCGTAAAATTGAAGAACAAAAAAATTAAAAATTGATAAATTGCAAATCGAAAAATTGAAGAAACGAAAAATTGAAAAATTATGAAACCGAAAAATCTAAAATTGAAAAAAATTAAAATTTTAAAATTTAAATCATGAAAATTCGAAAAATTTAATACCGAAAAACTGCAAACCGAAAAATTGAAAAATTGAAAATTTTGAAAAATCGAAAAATTGAAGAATTAAAAAATGAAAATTCGTCAAATTGCAAATCTAGAAATTGCAACATCTAAAAATTGAAACATCCAAAAAGTGGAAAATAGAAAAATTTAAAAATTTTAAAATGAAAACTTGAAGAGTTGCATGTTGTATAATTGAAGAACAAAAAAAATGAAAAAATGAAAAATAGAAGCAGAGAAAAATTAAAAAAATTTGAAATTGAAAATTAGAAAAATTGACAAAATAAAATATGTACTAAGAAACCGAAATAAATAATTGTAAACCGAAAATTTGAAGAAATGAATAACTGAACAATCGAAAAATTGAAAAATTAAAAAAAGAAAAATTGGGAAAAAGCAATAAATGAACAAGTTTTAAAATTAAAACATCCAAAAAGTGGAAAATAGAAAATCTGAAAAATTTAAAAATGAAAACTTGAAGAGTTGCGTGTCGTAAAATGGAAGAACAAAAAAAATCAAAAATTTAAAACTCGAAAGATCGAAAATTTTAAAAACGCAAAATTTCAATTGAAATAAATAAAGATACAAAAAACCGAAACAAATAATTGTAATTTGAAAATGTGAAGAAATGAAAAACTAAAGAATTGAAAAATTGACAAATTAAAAATAAAAAAATTAAACGTCGATAAATGAACAACTTTTAAAGTCCAGGCACTGAAAAACGGAAAAATTTTATAATCTAAAACTGAAAAGGCAAATAATTTTAAAAATCATTATTATTGTTATATATTTATAATGAAAACTAAAAAAAGTGCAAATGAAAATTTGAAGAAACGCAAAATTGAAAAATCATGAAACTGAAAAAACTAAAATTGAAAAAATCAACAATTAAGTAATCTAAAAGTTGAAAAATCGAAAAATTGAATGAATGAAGAAAATAAAAATCGAATCGAAAAATTCAAGATATGGAAAATTGAAAAATCGAAAAATTTTAAAAATAAAAAATAAAAATTCGTGAAATTGCAAAATCTAAAAATTAAAACAACCAAAAGGTGGAAAACAGAAAAAGTGAAAAATTTTAAAATGGAAACTTCAAGTGTTGCATGTTGTAAAATTGAAAAAACAAATAATCGTAATTTGAAAATGTGAAAAAATGAAAAACTAAAGAATCCAAAAAAATGAACAAGTTGTAAAATCCAATAATTGAAAACGGAAAAATTCTACATAATATAATCTAAAATTGAAAAAGTGAAAAATTAAAAAATGATAAAACTCAAAAATCTAAAATTGAAAACATCAAAAAGTTAAATACATAATCTAAAGGTTGAAAAATCGAAAATTCGGAAATGAAAAATTGAAAAATTGAAAAAGCTGTAAATAGAAAAAACAGAAAAATTTATTAAAATGAAAACTTGAAGAATTGCAACCGAAAATGTGAAGAAATGAAAAACTGAAGAACCGTAAAATTCAAAAATTAAAAATCCAAAATTTGAAAAGTCGAATAAATGAATAAGTTTTAAAATCCAATCATTGAAAAACGGAAAAATTCTATAATCTAAATTTGAAAAAATCATAAATTTTAAAAATTATTATTGTTATTATTACATAGTTATAACGAAAACTATAAAAATTGCAAATCAAAAATTGACGAAACGAAGAATTGAAAAATTTTAAAATTTAAAACTTGAAAAGTCGAAAAATTTAATACCGAAAAATTGCCAATCGAAAAATTGAAAAATTGAAAATTCCGAAATATCGAAAAATTGAAAAATTAAAAAATGAAAATTTCTAAAATTGCAAATCTAGAAATTGCAAAATCTAAAATTAAAAAAATTTAAAATGAAAACTTAGAGTTGCATGTCGTATAATTGAAGAACAAAAAAATTAAAAATAAAGATACAAAAAACCGAAACAAATAATTGTAACTTGAAAATGTGAAAAAATGAAAAACTGAAGAATTGAAAAATTGACAAATTAAAAACAAAAAATTTAAACGTCGATAAATGAAGAACTTTTAAAATCCAGTCATTGAAAAACGGAAAAATTTTATAATCTAAAATGGAAAATGAAAACAATTTTAAAAATTATTATTATTATTATTATATGTATATTTATAATGAAAACTAAAAAAATTGCAAATCAAAAATTGAAGAAACGAAAAATTGAAAAATCATGAAACTGAAAAAACTAAAATAGAAAAAAACAGCAATTAAATAATCTAAAATTTGAAAAATCGCAAAATTGAATGAATCAAGAAAATAAAAATCGAAGTGAAAAATTGCAAGTCATAAAATTCAAGACATGAAAAATAAAAAAATTCAAGACTTGAAAAATTGAAAAATCAAAAAATTAAAAAATTAAATAATGAAAATTCGTGAAATTCTAAATCTAGAAATTGCAAAATCTAAAAAGTTGCATGTTGTAAAATTGAAAAAACAAAAAAAAAATAACAATTGAAAAATTGGAAACCGAAAAATTTAAGAAAAGAAAAATCGAAAAAGTAAAATAAAATAAGAAACCGAAACAAATAGTTGCAAATGGAAAATTTGAAGAAATGAAGAACAGGAGAATCGAAAAATTAAAAAATCAAAAATCGAGAAAATGGAAAAGTTTTAAAATCCAATCATTGAAAACTTTAATTTTTTTTTAAGTTTTAAAATCCAATCATTCAAAATTAATTTTTCACTTTTTCATTCTACATATAATGAAAAAGTGAAAAATTAAAAAGTGATAAAACTCAAAAATCTAAGAATGAAAAAATCAAAAAATTAAATATACATACATATAATCTA